ATTGTTGTTGACAAAACTAACACCAATGTCTGCTCGTATACATAGGTGGGGCTAAGGTAAGAGGGAAAAATGTAATGTTAAGTTTCTTTAACAGGGAGACAAATACGACATTGTATCTATAAGCAATAGAGTAACCCATATCAAGAATCGTCATCCATATATCAATACCCTGCACACCTAAGTGTTCTACTCGTAACATATTCCTAACTTCAGAGACTATGTCATAAAATAAATTGGAAAACAATTGAGGGTGTTGATGAACTTGAGTATCTAACTGTGTCCGATTAAAAGTCCATGACTCTTCGCCTCATCCAAGTAAAGCTGCAATAGTATGGAAGCCACAATTTCCATTATCACCCATATCAACATTGTCATCAATGTATGGATGTAAGAAATTAGGAAACTGAGACAAGTAAAGATGTCTCGAAGATGCAGTGAACGGTTGACTTCTACCCCACATACTTGACGGTTGACTTCTAGTTGGCTTCATGCATGATCTCTTTGTAGTCTGACCCCCTTGCGAGCCCTCACCATGCTCTCACTATGAAAGATCATGATGAACGTCACTTTCCTTGCCCTTTTTACTCCTTTTATTTCCCTTATTTGACTTGTACTTCACTGACGATGGATATATAGAAGTTGTTGATGAATGTTTTAGTTCCCGAACCTTTTTTTCAACACATTTTGGCCCACAATATCCAAAGTACTAAAATTTGAGAAATTTCTGGTATTCGGTGAGTAAAACTTGTTTAATTTTTTTCTGCATAACTGAATTAATATAAAAACTACTCGATAAAATATATACATATGATAAAAATGGTTATCCATACAAGATTATAAAACAAAATTAAGATGTCTTCTTAACTTCATCTTCCTAGTGCCTAATATTCCCTGCATATGTTGATTCCTATGCTTTTGCATCTTTAATACAGTTTTGTCTCCAACGGTCAGTGACGGAAGGTAATAGACAATCAAATTTCAACTTTACCTGAACCCAATGATTGTTGTTGACAAAACCAACATCAATGATTTTATGTCTACTCGTATACATGTGGAGCTAAGGTAAGAGGGAAAAATGTAATGTTAAATCTCTTTGACAGGGAGACAAATACGATATTATATCTATAAGCAATAGGGTAACCTATATCAGGAATCGTCATCCATTTAGCAACACCCTGCACACCCAAATGTTCTACTTGTAATGCATTCCTAACTTCAGAGACTATGTCATAGAACAAATTAGAAAATAATTGATGGTGTTGATGAACTTGAGTATCTAACTGCGTCCGAATCAAAGTCCGTGACTCTTTGCCTTATCCAAGTAAAGTTGCAATTGGCTGAAAAACATATTTTCCATTGTCACCCACATGAACAATGTCATCAATGTATGGATGTAATAAATTAGGAAACTGAGACAAGTAAAGATGTCTCGATGATGCAGTGGACGGTTGACTTCTACTTGGCTTACTTGAAAATTGACTTCCAGTTGGTATCGTGCATGATCTCTTTGTAGTCTGACTCCTCTGCGCGCCCTCACCATTCTCTCACTATGAAAGATCATGATGCACGTCACTCTCCTCACCCTTTTCATTCCTTTTATTTCCCTTATTTGGCTTGTACTTCACTGGCGATGAACACATAGAAGTTGTTGATGAATTTGTTAGTTCCTGAACCTTTTTTTTCAACAACCTTTGTCTTACAATATCCAAAGTACTATAATATGTTTTCAACTCTTCACACTCTGCTTCTAAATCCAACTATGTACCACTTTCTTAATGATTGAATAATGCTCTTCAATGTGTAATTTCTTCCACACAAAAAACATGAATTGGTTCTAAAGGAAAAGGTTGGCCTTGTATTTGGAAATCATCAAGTTGACATACACAAGGTAACCCATGTGTTGGTCTAATGAAGTAACCACGAGCATCTTGGCTTGCACCAACAAATTTTACTATTTCTAGTTCCTTTCCAATGTGTTGTATATGATGTCTTGAAACATAACCATGTAAGTTGGTATAAAATGGAATGTTATACTGATGCTCAATGTTGACACTACTTTTTTTGAAACGAGACCCTAATTGAACCTAGCTACAACTTCGACATGGTATTCACAACACCCCACCTTCGGCATAAATCTCACCGGCTTGAAGTCAACATGCTTTTTAGTCTCCAATGAGCAGACTCCACCCTAAAAACAAAAATTAGAAATATAAGTTAAATTATGTTTAGTAATGTAATAACATCAAAATGACGTTCGCGTACCAATTTGTTGTTGTGTTCCCTAAATGGGTGACTTTGTTAGTCTAAGAAACAACAAACATTTCTTTATAAGGTGTCAACCATGTTTCTTTCACACACTTATCAAATAAAGAAATATCAGCACAAACAGTCTCAAAGTGCTTCAAGTGTTCGACAAACTCAGTTTCTCTATTAGCATACATGATGTTGTTCCAAAGATTTGTGACATGTCTGTGTCTTATTGATTTAACACACTCTTTAAATTTCATACTGACGTTTTTTGAAATATGGAACGAACACAACATATGAGTTGAATTTGGAAGCACAATTTCCATGGCATTCATCAACGCAAGTTCCTAGTCTGTCACCACAACCTTCGGTAGCAAATTCTCGAAAGAGAACAACTATTTGAGCTCCTCTAGTGCTCATTTGAATTTATCCTCCCTTTCATATTTTATATAGGCAAATCCTACTGAAAACGTCAATTTTGTTGACGTAACGCCAATAATCTCAAGGAATGGTAGTTGGTACCTGTATGATCACGATGCACATAATAAAAAATGTGATAAATCAAAGTATGTCGAAAAGATATCATAAATTAATATTTGTCCATTACCTATTTGTCTTGTATGTACAATAAAAAATCAACACCAAATGAAACATGTTCAACAACTTCACTGAATCAGGATGTGTCTAAAAGATATCAGTAACAACATCTGAGTCTTCCCTATTTCTAGTCCAGCACATGTATTTTTCTCTATGAATAAGACTCAACAACATTTGCATTTGGTAAATGGACCTCTCTTCCTCACATTATATGTAGCTCTGACTTTATATACCTGGGTAACACTGGCGAGGTTTTTTGGATCTTTGCCTTTCAGCAGCAACTATGTATCGTGGGGTATGTTGTACTTCGTTATGTCGTTCACAAATTGTCTTTCATGAACTTTTAGACGATCCAATATGTCATATTCTTATAAATCCTTAGATAATTTATGATTGTGCAACCTACATCTAACTATCACCTTCCAACCACTACCACTGGGCACAGATCTCAGCCTAAAAGGACATTTCACTTTCATACTACAAATGTCCTCTGAGGATTTGTTACTTTCAGATGCATTCTTCCTTTTATAGTTTTCTCCTTTCTTACAACCCATAATCAATTTATCTTTCCTGCTTCGCTCCCTATTTGCAGTATCAGAACGAACAGTCACAACAAAAATGCCATGATGTTTGCCAATAGTCTGTGCCCATGCTAATACTTCAGATTAGGACTCAAATATCTGTTATTTACATCATATAAAAAGTATATTATCAATATCATATAGAGGCGGGAAAACATTTAAATAAAACATGTTACGTAGAAAACATATCGCGTCAGTGGTGAAGAACTGCGTAAAATCTGTACACAAATCTGTAGAAGATCCTGTCGAATATGGACCACACAAGTAAAATATTTTTCTGCTTTTTGCATTGCTATAAAAAATTCAGAGTATCGGCAAAATTTTCGGTGATACCGAAAAATTTGAAATTTCCGTGTTCGGCAAAATTTGAAATTTTCGAAAGTTTTCTTATTTTTTCCGAAGATTTTAATAATTCCGTATGAGTTTAAGATTTTTCAGGAAAGTATCAAAATTTTTGAAATTTCCTGTATTTTTTCATAGAAAATTTACAAAAGTCCAGTAAAATGTGAAATTTTTCAAAAAATACGTATCAGAAATTATGTTTGTACGGTTGTAAATTTCGTTTGTGAGATGTTTGTAAAAGTGAGATTCTTTTGTAAAAATAATAAATTCTAGTTACTAAATAATAGCGGGACATTTTTGAAAATATAGGAAATATGAGATATAAGTGTGGAGTGGTAAGTTAAAACCTCTCCAACTCCATAAACATGGTCATTAGAGGAGGGGTACTGGGCTATGGCGTCCATTGATTCCGTGAATTTTATTTCGTTTATCAACTCTTTGGGTATGGACTATCTACAACATTTGGATCGTATTCTTTTACTTGTTACTTGTAAGAGCAATAATTGTTATTTTAGGTATATAGTTTATTCTAACTTTGTTTTTAATTCTTCCAACAGTAGTATTAAAATTTCTTCCGGTTAGAATTGACAAATTCTGATTTGTAAATAGTGTAACATCATATGCAAGTTGACAATTATCCATAGTAGGCAGTGCATTATTCTTTCCTTTGTGATGTGAGTACCCTACCCTACTATATAAATAAATCTGAAACCAACTGCCACGATCAATCAAGGTTGGTTCCAGGGTATAAATCATTCATCCAACTACATCTAAGCGGTGACTAACCAACTTTTTGGCAACAATTAAAGAAAGACATAGCAACCAACCAATGACACCAACTTTAATAGTATCTCAACAAAAAGCAAAAGCCATGTTAAAGCAAAAGTAATAATTACATCACCCATAATCCAACAACAATGACACTAATAATGGAATGGAACAGATATCCATCCACTTCCCCCCAAGTATTAATTGAAAAAAAGAAAAAGGAAAAACAGGGAGATGGCAGAAAGGATATTTGACAAGAAAAATGAAGAGGAATTTCAAAGAGCAAACAAATTTGAGGCTCAAGATATAAAATACAAACATAACCACAAGATTTAAATTTTTAACCTTTTAAAAAATTGGAATGTGATGTGACTTTGATGTAGCAAAGTCCAGCATGTAGGTGGAGGAGACAGGCTGAATCAGAAGATAGTGATGTACCACCATCTAACTTACTACAATTCTATATCATTGTTCATGTTGGATTTGGTCTTGCTCATCTTTCAAGCTAGATCTTCGTAATTCTTCTATGCTTCGTACGACTTCAGACATCGATGGTCGCTTATCAGGGTATTGTGCTGCACAATCAACAGCAAGTTGAAGCAACTGAACCATCTCCTCTTCAACATTCTGATACCTTAGGAGCTCGAGATCAAACACCTCAGAAGTCCACTCTTCTCTAACCACAGATTGAACCCATCTTGGAAGGTCTACCCCTTCTTCATTTAGGAGGGCATGTGTAGGTGCCTTCCCTGTTAGAAGTTCTAAGAGCAATACGCCAAAACTGTACACATCTGCCTTTTGAGATACTTTGCGAGGATCGGTTACTTCTGGGGCACGGTACCCAGCAACACGGTTTGGGGTAGAGGATGGGCCAACAAGCTGTGCAAGCCCAAAATCAGAGACTTTTGCTTCATACGACTTGGTTAAGAGGATATTAGATGACTTTATGTTTCCATGGGAAACATTAGGCCCTTGTGAGTGAAGGAACTCAATGCCTTGGGCTGCTCCTAGTGCAATGCTTGATCTCATTTCCCAATTCAATGGTGTCCTACCTGCTCCTTTGTTTCCTGCAACAACAAATATCACAGATTTCATTATACCGATCCATTGACCAGGGTTTGGATCATCTCATATGTCCCACAATTCAAATAGGGAATATTATTGTATACAGCTCAAACATCTGAATTAGCCATTTAATCTGTTAGTAGTATTTGCTTTAAGATTATCAATCTAATAGAAGAAAATTAATAAAATTGAGTCAATTACCATTAATCCAGTCCCTTAACCGTGAATTTAAGAGGCAAACATCATAATCTCATACTCTAACTCCTAAATTATTCTACATTCTAATCTAATGGCATTCATCATAGTATAATGCATTCCCAAAAGGCATAAATAAACACAAAAAAGTTAAATTGTAGCAATAATTGTGGAAGAAACTCACCATGCAAAAGTGCAGAGAGGCTTCCCATTGACATGTAATCATAAACAAGAAGCTTTTCATCCCTGCTAAAATAGTAAGCTCTTAAAGGCACCAAACTTTGATGATCTACTGCTCCAACTGCTTCAATCTTCTCTCTGAACTCCTTCTCATTTATTGTCACATCCTTCAACCTTTTCACCGCCACTATTGGCCCTGACTCCAATACCGCCTTATACGCTGTCCCGAATGTCCCTTTACCCAACACCTCCGCGGAAGCCCTCAACAGATCCTCTAGATCAAAAGCCCTCGGCGCATTCCCAAAAAACACCAACTTCTTAGCTCCACCAGCAGTGTTTCCATTTCCATTTGCTTCAACCTTGTTGACTGCAACCACCGCAGCAGCAGCAGTAGCAGCTGAAGCATATCCATTGCCGTTCTCCAGGTCGGAAATAGACTTATCACGAGGAACATCAGCTTCAGGATGCTTGACGGTAGCAACATCAACAGCACTAGTTTTCTTGCTACTCTTGTTCCTACACAGGAAGATCAAAAGGAAAACGAGCAAAAGAAGAAACACGATAGATCCAATGACAATTCCAGCAATGGCTCCTCCAGACAAGTTGTTCTTCTTCTTACTAGTGTTACCTCCGTCGGTAGAGAAAGGAGAAGAATCGTTCGTCTCGGTTCCGGGACAAAGAGAAAGAGGTCGACCGCATAGAGAATTTCCCAAAAAGGAATCTTGAGGGAAGGTCTGAAGCTTAACGGGAACAGAACCGTTTAAGACATTGTTGGAGACATTGAACTGATCGAGGGTCAAACGAGTGAGTTCCGGTATAGAACCAGAAAGGTGGTTGTTTTCAAGGTAGAGGGTTTTGAGTCTGGTGAAGTTGTTGAATGAGGTGGAAATGGGACCTGAGAAGTTGTTGAAGCCCATGTTGAGTCGAACCAAATCCGGTAAGTCAAACAGAAAGTGAGGGATTTCGCCGGAGAGAAGGTTTCGTTGAAGATAAAGGTTCCTGAGGTTGACACAGGAAGCCAGATCTGAAGGGAGTGAACCGGTGAGAGCGTTGAAACGAAGACTGAGAGTGCGGAGGTGAGTTAGATTGGAGAATATGCCGGAAGGTATTTGTCCGGAGAGAGCGACGCCGGGGAGATGAAGCTCGACGACACGGTTGTCGTCGCATTGAACACCGGCCCAGTTGCATGGAGTCTGGTTGGTTGCGTTCCAGAAAAGGGTTCGGCCACCGACAGAGGAACGGAGAGCCAGCAATGCAGCTCGTTCGGAATCTAGATCTGCTGGAGCAAGTTGAGGTCCTGTGAGTAGAAGTAGCAAGAGGATGAAGATTGGATCCATTGATGTGTGTTTTGTTGCCATTGTCACGTATACATAGATAGAATAAGCAGAGAAGAAGGATGAATAATGGGTTAGTTGTTATTTGTGTGAAAGGAGTAACCGTCAAAAAAAGAAGAAGGTTCGTTTGATGGTTGCTGTTAGAGGATAAAGAAAAGAAAGAATAAAAAAATGAAGTAATGAGTTGGAGGTACAGGCTGTGAGATTAACATAACATAACATAACGCATCAATCAATACAAGTATACTTAGTAGATATGTGTCTGTATACTACTGTCTACAGTAAAGCAACTAGTCAACTGTTCTTTTTTCTTTTTACTCGTCTATGTCTTTTCCTTTTATTTACTACTTTTTTTTATTTTTATTATAGTACTATTATACTCTCTCTTTCGAATGATAAAATAGCAATATTATTTATACTAACTACGATATCTTCTTGCATCAACGGTATATATATTAATTGTTAAAATTATTGTCGTTTAAGATTTTTTACATAGATTAAAAAATCAATGATATTGTTATAAAGTATTGTCCTTTTATTAAATTAGTCTTATTAATGTATTGGAAATAGCGTATAGAGTAATAATTATATGACACAATTGAAAAAATAACAATTATTACTGCATTGAAAAGTGAGAATGACATTCATTTTGAAACAAAATTTTTCTCCTAAAACGACAATCATTTTAAAACGGATGGAGTATTATTTACCCGACGCATTTACCAAATTTTCTCCTGATTACTTTCTATTTTAATATTGATTATTCATCCCCACAATAAAGCTCAACAATTTAATTTTTTAAAGCCGCCGACATTCCCTAAAAAAAATTAGAAGGAAACTTACAATGTGTGAATTTTTTATTCAAATAACCCACGTTTTTAAAAAAATTTCTAAAATACCCCAGTTTTCAAAAAAATTCCTAAAGTGTCCCAGTTAGGATTTCTGATTACCTAGGGGCGGCATTCCAATTGGCGACCCTTTGTTAAGACCATAAGGGTGTCACCAATTGGATTGGAGACACCTCATGCAGTCTCCAATCTAATTGGCGCCTTGGTGTAATACCTGATACCCTGTCGCCAATTCATCTAGACACAGAGTGTATTTTGTAATTTTTTTACGAAAAATAAATAATATTATCATTAATTAAAAAGCTATTACATAAACTAATGTTGACGACCAGATGAGTCATATCGGCCACTAGTTCCACATCCCCTATGCACCCTAACTTGTTGCACTTGTTCCCCTCGTTGTTGATTCACGTCAGGTGTTTGAGGAGTTAAAGTCTCAGGAACATTCTCAAATGGCTCCCTAAGAATTTTTTGCATTTCCATGAGGTATTATGTATTGAAACTGAGTGTGTGACCCATGCCAGAGTAGTTTGAATGTGATGAAGGGGTCATTGGTGTACGACCTAGATGGTTGAATGAGGACATTGATGTGAAGGATTCGTTGGTGAAAGGTTGAAATGGTAGTGGTGTTTGAAAGTCATAAGGTTGTTGAGATGGTTGAGTGTCTAGGCTGGGGTATGATGTCAGAGCGTTTTGGATATGGAAAGGTGTTTGGGCGTTATGGTTATGGTATGATGTACCCTCATTATGGCTATATCTTGATGTTATATTGGGGCCATAGCCATATTGGGTTTCTGGATAGTAGTCAGTGTGTTAGAGATGGTATGAGGGATGTTATTGGTATTATGGTTGGGTGTTTGGCATGTTTGGGTGGTTAATGGGTTGGTAATTTTATTGGGTAGGGTTTGTGAGTAACATGGCCTTCTTGGTGGGTTAGACGTTGAAGCTTCTTGTGTGTAGGTGGTTTGGTGTTGGTTGTATAAATACTTGTCTTCGGAGACAAACTCAGTTGCAACCGATCTGTACCAAGCCATATAATTAATAGTTAGTATAGATGGGGTTGCCATCACCGGGTCACGTAAGACATAGGCGTTACAGTTCATTCATTCATGCGTGCAATCAAAGACAAGAATCTTCACAAGAAAGTTGTGAATGTCGGGTATGCTCTAACTCAACCAACATTTCAATATTACCTTAACGAAATTAGGATGTCAAATAAAGATGCAGGAAGTTGGTTGGATAATATTCCACTCGAAAAGTGGACAATGGATTTTGATGGTGGATGTTGTTGGGGCCACATGACGACTAACATTGTGGAGTCCATGAACATGGTATTCAAAAGAATTAGAAGCCTTCCAATCACCGCTTTGGTGAGATCCACCTATTATAGGTTGGCACCACTTTTCGCAACAAGAGGCGAAAGATGGAGTGCAGTGTTAACGCTGGGATAAATATTCAGTGAAATCATAATGAAATTGATGAAAGAGGATACTATCAGAGCCAACACGCATGCAGTTACAGTCTTTGACCGTCATAGGCAAACATTCAGTGTATTAGAAACAATGGACCATAATGAGGAGATACCCAATTTATCCTATACTGTCATACTAAACAGATGTTGGTGTGATTGTGGCAAGTACCATGCCTTCCGTGTACCTTGCTCACGTGCTATTGCGGCATGCGCACATGCTCGTCAGGATGCTTATGGCTATATATCTGATGTTTACAAGGCGATTAATATTATGAACGTATACAACAAAGGCTTCGTAGTGCTACCAATGGAGGATTATTGGCCTCCATACCAAGGTGACATAGTTTGGCACAACGATGAGATGAGAAGAAAGAAAAAGGGACGCCCAAACAACAAGCATATAAGAACCAAAATGGATATCACTGATAAAATGATAAGATTGTGCACTATATGTCGTCAGCCCGAACATAACCGAAAAAATTATCCCAAATGTCAGAGGAACATCTGCACATGATTTAGCTTATCGTTTCATTTGTTGTAACCGAATATTTTTATATATTTATTAGTTTTTTTACAATAATGTTAACAACAAACAACACTAACAACACATAACACATACTAATTTCACAAAACATAAAACATTAACTAGGTGATTACAACATTCCTAACTGATTACAACTATCAAACTAATTTCATTCGATCCAAATATAACTTCCCTCGTATCTTTGTCGGTCTTAACACGAAATCATCCACGCAGTCGATCAAGTCTCTCGATACTGCGGATTTTTTTCCCTTCACCAATATCTCCTTCTAATCACCGATTCAACTCCCTCTTAAGTTGATTGAAACTTTGTATGTTCCAAAACAACATGTCCATCGGAGGCTTCTCTCTCTAATAGACGATTTTTCTCCACCGACAACCATACATGTTATCAGTAGAACAAAGATATGAAATGAGATGTTGAACTAAATGATCAGAACTCCTCTATTTATAGAAAAAATTCAGTTTCTAAGGAGTCTCTAGATGTATTGATGACTCCCTTATATGTCTATAACCAAGGCGCCAATTGAATTGAAGACTGCATGAGGTGTCTCCAATCCAATTGGCGACACCTTTATGGTCTTAACAAAGGGTCGTCAATTGGAATGTCACCCTTAGGTAATCAGAAACCCTAACTGGGGTACTTTGGATTTTTTTTTTTAAAAGTAGGGTATTTTGGGACTTTTTAAAAAAAAGTGGGTTATTTTGGTAAAAAATTCACAATGTGTAAGTGATTACTTTCTTTTGAATTGGTTTTGTCCTTCTAAAATTGTACACGCCTTTACAAGTCTACAAGGTTAAGAATCTATTTGGTAAGACAAAAAAAGAGTTTTTAGCTTATAATTTTTAGTTTTTCAACTTATATTAATAAAAAAGTTATGTTTGGTAACTGCCTTTTAAATTTTAGTTTGTAGTTTTTTTTACTATCTTTTAGCTTTTTTTTCAAAAACTATTTGAACTTATAGTTTTTAGCTTATGACTTTTTCTTCCATTTATACCCTTATTATTTTATCAAAAACTCATTTTTACCCTTTATATTATTATGATTTAAATTAAAATGTTTGTGTTTTAGTTTAGAGAATAAAAAAAGTTAGTCATTATTTTTACCAACAAATTAACCATGCAATTCATCTTCCATTTTATTATTAATGAAATATTTTGATTCATTACATTGAACTATTTTTTATTACTTTTAAATTATCATTTTAATTATTTATTACTTGAGCTTTTATTATTAATGTACTATTTTTATAAATATGATACTATATTATTGAATATATATTTGTTTGTTAGTACACATATTATACATTTTGAGAGAGAGAAAAAAGAGAATGAAATATGCACTTATAAAGATCAAATTACAATATTATTATTTTATAGATATTTAAATTTCATTATAAAATTTATATAATAGTATTTAATATATTTTTGGATTATTTTTATTTTATATTTTGATTTAAAATGTTTTGCATTTGATTTTTGATATGTTTATTTTTATTTAATAAAAATTAATTTAATAAATAAGATTACTAATTTTTTAATTAAGAATGTCCTTTTATGTCATTTTGTATTTATCAAATAGTGTAACAACTAATTTACCAAACACTCAAATTAGCTTATCAACTATAAGTCATCAACTATAAGCTATCAATCATCAGTTATAAGATGTAAGCTATTAGTCATCAGCTATCAGCTAGCTTATCAGCTATCAGCTAATTTTACCAAACATAGACTAAATATGCTTGACGTTTTTATAAATATTTTAAATTATCTTTTTACTCCTTCTAAATATTTTAAAATTTGTTTTTACTCCTTCTATATAGTTTTTTTAAACAGTCGTCCTTTTAAAAAATTTTTGTTCATACATTGGTTCCTTTTTTAAAATGATTTAATAATTGCTTATATGGATAATTAAATGAGATATTTTGTGACAAATGGCATAATGATGTTGGATTGTGTCACGACGCGAAAAATGACCACAAGCGTCCGCATGTTCAAGATGATAACCGAGTCGTTACTGAACTTTATTTATTTCCCAAAGGAAAGGGAAAATATCGATAAAATCCTTAAAAGAAAAAATATTGTCGTAATCAAATTCGAATTCGGGAGTCGGTTATGTGATGGAAAGATACTAATACCCCTCACATCTATTGTACTCAACGAGAACCATTTAGTTTGATTTGCAAATAGATTGTTAGCATTTATGTGAGATGTTGGATTAAACTCTAGTATGGTCGAAGGGTAGCTTCTGGTTCGACAGAAATTAAGCATGAGGTCGAAGTCTGTTCGCATGCTATTGTAGAAGATTCGACAAGTTTATGGCACACATAAGTTTTATCAGAAGTCAGTTCGACCACTGTGTTTACTTCAGATTTTGACCGGGTAATTCATTTGTTATTTTGTTGCTCTATGTGGATGATATTCTAATAGCAAGCAAAAATGTTGAAGAGGTAATGAGGGTGAAGGCTGAACTCAATAAGGAGTTCGACATGAAGGATCTGGGAGTTGCGTCCAGGATTCTTGGAATTGACATCCGAAGAGATAGAAAGCAGTCGAGATTATGCTTATCTCAAGAGGCATACCTACAGAAGATTCTCGAAAAGTATGGTATGTCGAATTCAAAGCCTATTGCGACTCCGACAAACCCTTAATTCAAGATAAATATATATTAGTGTCTCAGCACTGATGTTGAAAGAACTTACATGAATAACATTCCATATACTAACATAGTAGGTTCTTTGATGTATGATATGTTTTGTACTAGACCCGACATAACATATGTAGTAAGTCTTGTAAGCAGGTACATGACAAATTCTGGAAAGACTTACTGACAAGCATTGAAGTGGATTCTAAGGTACATAAATGGGTCTATGAATAGAGTCCTAATTTATGGTGGAGCCTTGGGTGAAGATAGTAAAGTAGAAATCGAATGATATGTCGACTCTGATTATGTGTCGCTACGCGAAAAATGACACAGAGTCGCCACCAGATTTTATTTATCCCACGGAGGGAAAGGTAAATAACGATAAAACCTTTGGGAAAAGGGCATGGTCATCGCAACCAAGTCTTAGGGTTCGGGAGTAGGTTATGCAAGGGGAAGGTATTAGCACCCCCTCACATCCATTGTACTCGATGGGAACCTCCTAGGTTATTTCGCATGAATGGGTGTTTTATTCTAAAAGTTTGCTTGTTTAAAGAAAGAGGGGTTGGTGTTTATTAGGGTGCTCGCCAAGGATTGAGGCTATTGTGCCTACGTATATTCACTTGTATAAAGTGAAGAATCAGAGCATTCGTAGTTCATGGGACTACGGTGGAAAACGGGATGTTGGGTGGACGATATTATCGTGCGCATTCTAGCAGTTAGGTGTATTACGGCTCGCTCTTGGAGTCTCATGCGTTACCTGTTTGCGGTAGAACGAACGTAACATGTCCTTGGGTAAAGGGTATGGATGATTAAAGATGGGAAAGAAAGAAAATTGTGCTCGCTAGGATCATCGCAATCCTATGCCTACGTACTCTCAACATGTGTGAGAAATCAGAGCAGCTGTAGTTCGACCACTTAAGAAATAATTGTGTATTGGTTGAATTTATACCTTGAAAAAGGGTTTTCGGATTGACGCCCTAAGGCAAAAGAAGTTTGATGAGTTGATATTGTTTTTAGGTTTTTTAGGGAAGAATTTATTCTTGACTAGGATTATACAAAAGACTTTGGATAGAGATAAATGTCTCGAATAACCAAGTCGAGCGCCTTGTATTCAGAACATTCGGAACGAGTGTAGGAGGATTCCATTCTCATTCCTTCTCCACCACTTTAAAGTTCATGGTGCATAATTCTAATCGTATATTTTATTGTGTTTTGGATTTTTTTATGAGAAAAGAGAACCACTTGACGTTGGATCAAGGTTTATCGTTTGTAAAGATATATTTGAAGCGATACGGACAAGGTCGATGGCGATGCGCAAGGCAATCGACTTACAAGGTTAAAAATGGCTCGATAAACGGGTTTGGTGCAGAAACAACCGGAGGATCTACAGCAGCAGTAGCGTTAATCTCAGAAACCACGGTAGGCTGAGTATCCATCTTTGCATTCATGACGTGGAGTAATTCCATGATTGTTCCAACACTCCCTTGAAGGTCTGCTAGCTCGTTGTTAACGCGATCCATCTCTTGAGCATGTTCTTCCATCCTTCTTCGAGCTTGAGCTCTAGTGTTGTATCGATTTAGGGTGACAAAACTGGAAGGCGAGAGAACCGAGTATGAGAAACCGAGAGACACATGTAATGCAAAGATATGATGCGAAATGCGAATGACATGACTTCATGGAATTCAAGTATTTATGAGCATTGCGGGATAACGAAAAATTTTATTGATTGAAAAATGGATTACAAATAATATTCTTAAAAGAAAAATCTCGATGAAAATAACCAACTAAAATTCTA